CATACCTCTGTCGCTAGCACATGTACGACCCTAGCTTTTGTGTCGCTGTCCTTCACGCTTGACTCTGGAGTGTCTCTGTGTTTCTTTCGCGACTGCACCGAACTTACGCTGCTACGCACTCCAGTCTCTGTCGCCTTCGCTGGCCCCATCATAAGACCTGTCGTTGCTTACAACACCACTCTCCCATGTCCAGCGGCCCCCTCTGGGTTTCTCACAGGTCTCTACGTCCCCTCGTTCTCCAGGAACTTGGTAGGTGTCAGTCACCTTCAGGACCTCAGTGTCGCCACCCTCTTTCACTTGGACACGGGTATTGCCACCCGCTCAGTTGGTGCCACTGTAACACATCCGACCACTTTTCACAGAGAGCCGGATTCAAATTTTTACTCTCTACTTACAGAGTCTCCCGAGGTAGCTGTGTCAGGTCACGTAGCTGATGTGTCGTGCGATTGTCGTTCACTCAACCACTCGTCATTCCCCTAGCACCACCGTCTTGGTCACCCATCCTTCCCGCGTCTTAGTCAGATGGTTCGCCACCGTCTGGTCTTAGGTCTCCCAGCAGGTCTGCTGCTTAGCCCTGCTTCCCTGCTCGCCCTGCTTCTCTGCTCGCCTGTGACGCCGACTACCCCCTGCGTCGGAGGAGGAAACGGGAGGACAGACGAAGATAGGTTTCTAGTCCACTTTCTCACATTCTGGCATGGTATCAGTGCTAGGTTTAGGTCAGCCGGGCCCACGCCATCCGCGCCAGCTGCATAAGCGCCAGTTGCGCCCGCGCCAGCTGTGCCTACGCCAGCCGCACCTGCGCCCACTCCTATTGCGCTAGCCGCTCCGGCGCATGCGCTAGTCGTGCCCGCGCTGCCCGAGCCCTCGCCAACCGCGCCCCCCGCCAGCCGCGCCAGCTGAGCCCGCGCTCGCGCCAGCTTTGCTCGCGCCTACTGCGCCCACACCTGCCATGCCCGCACCTACCGCGCCCGTGCCTGCTGCGCTCGCGCCAGCCGCGCCCACCCTTGCGCCTCACGCACTCCCGCCTGGGCCCGCTGCCGCCCGTGCATGCCGCACCCACGCCTACACTTGCCGCTGTCACACTTTCTGCCTGCCACATTCGCGCCCTACCGCCATGCCTGTTGTGTTCCTGCCACAGCGACTGACGTGTGCCTGCCGCCGATGCTTTCGGTGCCACCGTGCCTGCAGCTGCGATTTTGGGTGTTGCTTTGCTTGACTACTTCTGATTGCAGCTGTTTCACTCTCCTCCACCTACGCCTATTCCCTCTCGTCTGCTAGAGCTATGCCCCTCTTCACCCCATAGCGTTCGGGGGTGTACTGCAACTCGATGCAGAGGGGCAGGAGATCAACTTTGATGCACGGTTGCTTGACGCCACGCTCCACCTGCACAGACAGCACCAGGATGGTGATACTTTGTACGCCCACGCTTCCGGTGAGGTGCCCATCCCTGAGGGTCCTACTCCTCTTACCGCTGAGGCCATACTGGCAGGCCAGGAGACTTACAACATGGCTTGACATGCGTACTTGGTGTGGCGGTCACGTGACGCAGCCGCAAGCCTTGCTCTTCGCCGCCGACGGACGATCAAGTTCACTTTCGCCATATCGTGTCATTGAAGGAGTATTTTGATGCTATTTTTGCTTGCTATTCCACCCCATCCTCTTCTACTCTAAGATACCTCGTCATACCTTTCCTCTTCCTTGATTTCCCTGCGTTCTCCATTGTTGATGACCTCATTACTCACACACACGCTGGACGCTAGTTACCTCGCTGTTTGTACAGTTGAGGATATCGTTGCACACCCTCCCCATACGCATCTCACCCTGAACATCCTAGCGACCCGCCTCCCTGACCGCCTTGCGTCTGCTCGCGACGCCCTCCTTGCCTTGCACTTTATGCGTCTCTCTATCGATCTCTTTGAGACTCGTCTTACAGAGATCAAGACCTGCCTCCGCGCCATCGCCTCCACCACTAGTACAGTAGCCCCCCCCCCATCTTTTAGGGGTGTGATCCGCCACAACTCACTACCTCAGCTGCATCTGCTGGTGTTGCTGGGCCTACTGCTTGTCAAAATATATTTATAAATATTTAGTATAATATGCTAGTAGTGTAACTGTAGTGCAGTTCTCTTGTATGATGGGGCACCTCTTTCTCTTTGTGCTTTGCTATATGTTCCTTGTGTGTTGTAGTGAAGCCACCCATTTTCATGATTCTCCTTGGTGACAAGTCTCTCGATACCCGCTTGGCCTAGGCTACTAAGCCTAGGCCCTCTTAAACTCGGTTCCTAGCTAAGTTAGACTCTTGACATGGTATAGAGCTGTTCGATTTCCATGGGCCCACCGCCCCGCACTCGCTTTTTAGCGCCCAGTCGCCCCTTAGCACCCCACTCTCCAACGTCGAATCGCGCGCTAGAAAGAGTCCCCCGCGGGTCTCCCTCCGTCACGACGTAGAACGGCCCCTGGCCCGCCAGATCGCGAGCTAGAAGAGACCCCCGCGGGTCCCCCACGTCGCGACCTAGTAAGCCCCCCATGGGCCCGTCAGATCGCAAGTTAGAGAAACCCCCCGCGGGTCCCCCCCACGCCGCGACCTAGAAAGACCTCTGCGGGCCCGTCAGATGGCGTCGCCCTTCCCGTTGTCCATACGCAAAAGCACCCTGCACCCCGCCCGCGCAACCTATCTGCACCCCGCTCGCAACCATCCCGTAACTACCTGCCAGCAACGACCGCCAGCTGCCTGCGTCATCGACCGCTGCCAGCGTCAGCCCGTCAACACCCCGCACCCCGTCTGTCTGCCGCTCGTTGCCACATGCCCGCCGCCCGTACGCTCTCCACCTCCCCAACCCGTCCCTCCCCCTCGTCACCTCGATCTCGCCGCGCTCCCCCCCCTCCCCTCTCCCCCCCCCCCCGTCACCCGCTCGCCGCGCCTCCCGTAGCCGCCCCCCACCATCAGATGGCACCCCACCCTCGTCTCCCGCTCCGTTTCCAGCGGGAGGGGGTGGTGGTGGGGTGTTGGCCCGTGGGGGACAGCTCGGGGAGAGGGAGTGACAGGGGTGGCGACCTGTGGGGGTGGAGGTGGCAGGGTTGGTGGCTCATGTGGGAGGAGGGTAAGGGGGTGGCGAGAAGGATACTGCAGCATCAGCCGCCGCCTCCTCTCTTTCTCTCACTCGCATTTGCTACTGTGGGGGGAGGATGGAGGGGTGTGGGAGTGGAACTGCAGCCCCGTGTCTCACCGCCACCACACCTCCTCCTCTCTCTCTTTGCCACATCTGCTACTGTGGGAGGGAGGTTCAGGGGGTGTGTGTGGTGAGAGTTTAACTGCAGCATCAGCCACCTCCTCCTCCTCTCCCCCGAGCCTCCTGTGCCACCCGTGCCTTTCCGTCCGTGCTGCCACCCCGTGCTGCCCCGTGCTTCCCGTGCGTCCTGTGCTGCCCCGTGCTTCCCGTGCTCCCGTGCGTCCCGTGCTGCCCCGTACTCCCGTGCTTCCCATGCTCACGTGCGTCCCATGCTGCCCCGTGCTCCCGTGCGTCCCGTGCTGCCCTGTGCCCCCGTGCTCCCTTGTCTCCCGTTGCTACCCGTGCCTTGCTGCGCGGTCTCGTGCTGCCCGTCACTCCCGTGCTGTTCGTCCTGTGCCGCATCTAGTTAATTCCTGTTCGCACCCGCTACCCGAACCTGCTACCCGTAACCCGGCTCCTCCACACCGAGCTCCATCTGCAGCAGGCCCCTGTTCCACCGCAATGGTCCAGCTGCTGCTTGGAGTGAGTTGCTTGTCAGCTTCATAGGGGGGGGCTTACTGGTGTTCCCACGCCCAGTAATGGGGTTTTATAGGTGTATCCCATCAAGGGGAGCTCTGCACATGGTTATTCACTTCAGGCAGATAAGGGGTGTGTCAAAATATATTTATATATATTTAGTATATTCTTCTTATAGTGTAATTGTAGTGTAGTTCTCTTGTATGGTGGTGCACCTGTTTCTCTTTGTGCTTTGCTATATGTACCTTGTGTGCTATAGTGAAGCCACCCATTTTCATGATTCTCATTGGTGACAAGTTCTCGATACCTGCTTGGCCTAGGCTATTAAGCCTAGGCCCTCTTAAACCCGGTTCCTAGCTAAGTTAGACTCTCGACAGTGCTACGATGAAGGGACAATGCTACGATGAAGGTCGCAGCCATTGCTGTCCCTTCAAGTGGGCACGGACGGTGCAAGGGTGGTCATGGTCGTGGAGGAGGTGGAGGTGCTGGTATGTTGGGGGGTGCTGACGCTGGGAGTGCTGGTCCTGGGAGTGCTGCTGCAGGAGGTGCTGGTCCTAGGGGTCCAGCGGTGACTTAGCAGCAGTAGCAGCAACTGTAGCATCGCCAGCTGCAGCAACAACAGTAGTCTCATCAGTAGCAGCAGATCCTGTCAATGTAAGAAATAACTAGCGTAAGGTTTAGTGAGGGGCCTAGGCTCAGAGCCTAGGCCTTGGGGTATCGAAAGAGTTTGTGCCAAGCGCAATTCTGAGAATGTACAAACTCCAGCGCTGGAGTACATATAGCAAACAACAAAGTTGCACCACCAAACAAGAATGTATAGAACTACACTACAACTAACTACAAGCAGTTTCATAAAGTATGTAAAACATAGTTTGACACGCCCCCTTAACTGCTTGCAAGAAGAAGTGCAGTAACGCCCCCCTGAAGGGGTGCACCTGTAAAACCCCCTCACTGGGCGTGGGAACACCAGCGAGGGGCCCCTCTCAAGCCGACAAGCAGCAGGCACCTAGCAGCAGCTGGACCACCATGGTGGAAACAGGTGCACCGGCTGCGGTTGAACGCCCCGCAGCTGGAGCTTGGTGCGCATGCCGAAGGGGAGAGGAGACGTAAGCGTAAGCGTAAGCAAGCCGAACACCGGATCACGGGTAGGACACGGGCTGAACATCGAATCACGAGTAGGACACGGGCTGGACACTGGATAACGAGTAGTACACATGCAGAATTACGGGCAGAATCACGGGCAAAATCACGGGCATGGGGCAGCACGGGGAGCACAGGAGGCATGGGGGCAGCATGGGGAACACGGGAGGCACAGGAGACATGGGCGGAACAGGAGGCACGGGAGGCTCGGGCACGGGCAGCACGGGGAACACGGGAGGCACGGGAGACACGGGCGGACAGCAAGGCACGGGCGGCACGGGAGGCTCGGGCGGAACGGGAGGCACAGGAACACAGGAGCACAGGGCAGCACGGGAAGCACAGGAGCACAGGGCAACACGGGAAGCACGGGAGCACAGGAGGCACGGGGGTAGCATGGGATACATGGGAGCACGGGGCAGCACAGGACACACGGGAGGACGAGAGCATGGGAGCACACGAGCACAGGAGGCACGGGGGCAGCACGGGAAGCATGGGAAGCACGGGGCAGCACGGGAAGCAAGGGTAGACGAGAACACAGGAGCACGGGACAAGCAGCAAGCCCCATACAACGTCATGGGCGGAACGGGGGGCATAGGCGGCAGCGAACTTATGGGAGACACGGGCAGCATTGGAGGCATGGGGTCAGAGGAGGAGGAGACGGCTGCTGCAGCAGCTGGACTCACACCACCCCCTGAACCTCTCCCCACAGCAGTGGCAGCGGGAGAGAGGGAGAGGAGGAGGTGTGGCAGCAGTTGCTGTAGATCACCCACCACAAACACCCCCTGAACCTCCCCCCATAGCAGTAGCAGCGGCAGAGAGAGGGGAGGAGGGAAGTGTGGAGGCGGCTGATGCTGCAGCAGGTACTCCAACCACCCCCGCACACTCCACCCCTTGAGGCAGTGTTGGGCGGCAGCAGGTGCTGCTGGCACTGGCGGTCGCTGCTGACATCCGCCCACCACCCCCTTCCCACAATCCCCCTCCCATCAGTCGCCAACCCTGCCACCTCCACCCCCATAAGTCGTCATCCCCGTCACTCCCCCTCCGCCAGCCGTCCCCTATGGACCAACTCCCCACCACCTACCCCTCCTGCTGGAAATGGAGCAGGGAACGGGGTGGGGTGGCATCTGACGGTCGGGAGGCGGTTTTTGACGGTGGGGGGGGTGGGGAGGGGTTTCCGACGGAGGGGGGCGCGGGGGGGGAGGGGGGGGGGGGGAGGGGGGGGAGGGGGGGGTGCGGGTTGCGGGGTGCAGTTACAGACGGGGCGGCGGATGCCCTGGAACGCGGGCGGCGGCGGATGCCCTGGAACGCGGGCGGCGGCGAGGCGAGAGCGGGGTGCGTGTGGGGCGCGGGTAGCTTACAGGCTACGGGCGGGGTGTGGGGACGGACGGTGGTGCGGGGTGCAGGTAACGGCAAGCTGGCGGAGGCGCTGGCGGATGGCGCTGGTGCCGGCACTGGCGCTAGCAGTTGGCGTCAGTGCTAGCGCAGGCGGGTCGGTAACGAGTTCGCTGGCGGGTCCATTGGTGGGTCCGTCGGCGGGCTTGCTGGCGCACCCGCTGGCGGGTCCGTTGGCGGACTTGCTGTCGGTGAGTTCGCTGGCGGGCGCTGGCTGGCAGAAACCGACGAACTAGCCTACGGGCAGAGCAACGCGACGGGCGCATCTTGGCGGAAGCTAGTAGTGGGCCCATGGGTTGTAGACATCCCTATCCTCGTGAAGGTCCCAAAGAATCCGCTCGCCAAGCCTCGCGGTGTAGGTCTTAGCTCCCTTCGAGCTTGTGTCCATGCCGGCCTTTTGCAACCGCCGCACGGAAATCAGGTTGGCAGCAAGGTTGGGCACCCAAAGCACGTTCTTGAGGCCCACCATCTTCCCATCAGCACCCTTGAACATGGCCTTGCCCATGCCTTTCACCTCTGCTCGCTGCCCCAAAGCCGATGTCACATGCTTCACCGGTGACGGCTCAAGTTCGGTGAGCAAGTCCGCACGAGGTGTCATGCTATAGGTAGCGCCGCTATCGATCACCCAATAGTCCAGGGAGTGTAGGGTGACCTTCCCCACAGCTGCTGGCTCCTCAAAGCTTTCATCATTCTCTGGACCAGCCGGTGCTTGCGTGGACACGAAGAAGAATTGACCCGGGAAGCGATCGTCCCTCGACTCGCTCTCGTTGCCGGCACTCTTCATACTTGCAGCACCACCTCCGCGACCGCCACGGCCTCCACGGCCTCTTCCTCTCCCTCCTCCTGCTCCTCTACCCTCTTGGCCTTGAGCAGGAGTCCATCCATCAGGGAGTTTGTAGCAATCGCGCCACATGTGTCCGCTCTTGTGGCAAAAATGACACTCGCCGTCGAACCGTCCGCGACCGCGTCCGTTGTTCTTGTTGTCATTGCCGTATCCGCTACTCCCGCGGCCTCCGTTGAAGTTGCTGCCTCCAAACCTTCCTCCTCCTCGTCCTCTGCCCTTTCCACGGCCATATCCACGGCCGATGCTTGCTGCCCCGGCGCCATCCGCACTCGCCAACTCACGGCGTCGGAAATCCTCTTGAAGGATCGCTCGCTTCACGTCTTCGAGCGAGAGGTGGGGCAAGTCACGATTGAGGTTGATGATGAGAGAGGACCATGACTCTGGGAGTAAGGCCAGCAACTTGGTCTTCTTTTGGAGCTCACTGTAGTTCAAATCAGCTCCCTCAAGCCGCGTCAACAAGTCGAAGAATTTCTGCACCCCTTCTTCAACCGCTTCGTCTTCTTCAATTCGTAGTGCCGCCATTTGCCGTTCCAACACCACCGCTACCGCCGCTGTTGCAGGAGCATGTACACCCTTGAGAGCAGCCCATGCCTTTGGTCCCTTCTCTGGTTCATGCTGGAATGGTTTGATGTGGCGGATCTGGCTGCTCCCCAACGCTTGCCCAAGTAGGAGATAGCCTTGTGCGCTCTTCCGCACCCACGGGCTCTTCTCCGGGTCGTTCTCGGGGCGCTTCTCCGTTCCTTCCATCACCTCCAGCAGGTCATAGTGGTCAAAGATGTTCTCCATCTTGAAGGACCATTCAGCAAAGTTGTCACCGTTGAACTTGTCAAGCCCAAACACCCTAGGCTCATCCCTAGGTGGGCCAAGACTTGGTTGCATGGGCGCCATGGCTGAATCACGGGGTTGGCCTTGAGCTTGGGCTTCTCCACTGCCACCAGCAACTCTGCCACCCCTTTCCTCAGGTCCAGACATTGTCGAAACTGCTCCAAGGGGCTCTGATACCACTTGTTATAGTCACAATAGCCTTGAATGTGCCTAAACGAAAGATAGAGTGCACAGACGGATTTCTGCACAGCGGCTTCAAACGTTGATAGCGTTCTGCTCACAGCTGCAAATGACTTGATTCAAATTGGATCTGGAGCGTCTTGACGTCGCCTACAATAAGCAATTTAGATTGCACGATTTCATAAAGAATTGACGACACAGCGTCGGTTTGAACGAACGGTACTATGGCAGCCACTATAGTCTTAGAACACAAGATAGGAAGAGTTACGAGTTGGGAATGACTCCCAGCTCCTACAAACCCCAAGAGCCGAGGTACAGTGATGTGGAACAGTGCCACACTGTCCCCAACCACGAAGGGTCTCGAAACTACCCTCCACAAGGGCCTACACCAAGAGAAATATTACACTACACAAAGTAATGCAACTATTCTCACTATCTTAAAGTTTACCCTTTTAGAGAGCTTCGAAATAACTTGAATCTTGAAACCAAGGCTCTGGTTATTCAAGGTAAATTCTTCCTTGAGTTCTTGGAAGTCTGCTGCGCACACCTGCGACACGCCGAACGTTCCACACACGACAAAATAGAAAACCGCACACGACACGCAAACGACGACGTGACACGCGACTAGCGATAACTCGCTATTGACTCGACGCACACATTCAAAATCATGCTTCATCATACACACACTATTGTAAACATGAAATATATATTATTTCATGCCCTCATACCATTCCATGCACACACGCATGCACGCACACGGACAACAAGCCGAATGCAAACCGTAGGGTTGCACCAACAAGATGCAAGTTGGATGGGCAACATAGGATCGGCTGCAGTGGACGCATCAGGCTCGGCATCTACAACGGGGTTAGGCACGACATCAGTGGCTGGGTTAGGTTCGGAATCAGGGGGCGCGTTTCCTCTGGTGGACCCCTTTCCTGTACTCACCTTGCCTCCCCCCAACCACGTGTAGGAGAATGTGACCTACAATGTGGCGATCGCTGAGCCTTTTGCTGCACAGGTGGGTGATGAGGAAAGTGGCTTGATGCTGTGTGGGATTAGGTGTGGGTGGCTTGGTGTGGTGTGGCTGTGCTCACTCACCTCGCCTCCCCCCAACCACGTGAAGGAGAATTCGAGTTATGATGTGGCGATTGTATGTTGAAGCGGGATTGTGGGGGGGTAGTCAGGTGTGGTGCGGTGCGGGGCGGTGTGGTGTGGTGTGGCTGTGCTCACTCATCTCGCCTCCCCCCAACCACGTGAAGGATCATGCGAGCTATGACGTGGCCATTGCTGAACCGTTTGCTGCACAGGTGGGTGGGAGAGAGGGACTGAGAGTTGAAACGAGATTGTGTTGGGCGGGGGTAGGTGTGGTGTGGTGTGATGTGGTTTGGTGTGGTTGTGCTCACCTCACCTCCCCGCAACCACATGAAAGAGAATGTGAGCTAAGTTCTCTGCATATTGGTGGTGGAAGAGCACAGGGGATTTGAGGAGCGAAGTATACATACCTGTCCACTCTCCTTCTTCCAGTTAAGAACCTGCATTTGCACATGGCCCTTGCTCCCCCTCGTTCCTCACGTTCCCTCTCCCTCATGCATGTCAAATCACAGTCAGCTGTTACGGTATCAAGGTGCCAACGAACCAGCATTAGGTCATACATGCACTATTTTTTTCTCTGTTTCCACTCTTCTTTGTTTTCTCGTCTCCTTCTCCCACGCCTCTCTGCAAGTGTTCCTTCTAGAGAACGTTTTCATCAACGACCGTGGCATGGTGTTCGATGTCATGTACCACTACCGCCATGGGCTGCTGTGCAGGTGTGTATGCATACATACACATGCACATGCATATAGGGGACCCCTTCTATCTGGAGCCGATCCTTCTATATATATCCATCGGGAATCGGACCGCCATGAGCTCCTGTGCAGGTACGCATGCATGGCACATGTACATGCTATGTTTCTATGGCATAAAGGCATGCAGGTTTTTTTTTCCATGTACCCATCATTGCCATGGCTTGTTGTGAAAGTACGTAGGGTATGGTGGTATAGTGAAAATGAGGTGACTTTTGAGTCGACTCAAAAGTCACCTTGTTCTGCAGGTACGTAGGGTATGGTGGTATAGTGAAAATGAAAGCCAGACTGCACATCTGTACAATGAGTTGCTCCCATTGGCCCATGGCTCCCTCTCTTCCATCCCCCCTCCCCCCCAACTAGCTCCTGCCCTCTCGACTTCGGCCTGTACATGGGCAATAAAACCAGAGTGCATGTGTGCAGTGAACTGCTCCCATTGGCCAATAACACTCTCTCTTTCCCTCGCCTCTCTTCCCTTCCTCCACTCGTGTCCAGATCGTGCCATCTCGACTTTGGCATGTACACAGGGAACGAAACCAAGGTGCACGTGTACAGTGAGCTGCTCTCATTGGTAAATTGGAACGGCAGGAACTTCTACCATTCGCTGCTCGAGGGCATGCCCTCTCTGCTCTAACTGCGGCCGTTTCTTGAAAAGAGACCAGACATTCCAATCCCAGTCAAGATCGACCAAGTGATCTTCGGGGAGGAGCGGTGCAACGAGGTGAGGCGCCTTGCTCATTGTAACTGCAATCCCCAACCCAGCTTCCACCATTCGCTGCTCGAGGCCATGCCCTCTCTGCTCTACCTGCGACCATTTTCATAAGAAAATCCTAACATCCCAATCCTTGTGAAAATCGACCAGGTGAGAGGAGATGAGATGAGAGCCTTGTAAGTTGTGACTGCCTTAACCCTTTGTCGAAACGAAACCCTTCATCTCAGTTTATCTTCACTTGAACTGCCCAAGTTGTGACTGCAGTCCCAAGTTCTACCATGCGCTTCTCTCTGCTTTCTGCTCCACCTGCGTTTGTTCTTGGAAGTCAAGCTTGGCATCCCAACCCCAGTGAAGATCAACCAAGTTAGGCAGTGCAATGCAGTGGGTTAGGTGTAGTGCGGTGCGGGAAGGTGAGGCACAGTACGGTGAGGTGCAGTCCCTCTGAGCCCCTTCTCCAGTGAAACAGTATTCTCTCACTTCCACCACTCTCTTCTCGAGGTCATGAGGTGGCTTTTGAGTTGACTCAAAAGTCACCTCGTATTCTCTCATCACCACTCTCTTCTCGAGGTCATGCCCTTCCTCCTGCCCTACCTGCGGTCATTCCTTTTTTAGATCTCGATTCCAATCAAGAATCATCAGCTGATGTGCGGTGCGGTGAGTTGTGGTGAGGCGTGCGCGCG